GTCATTGAACATGAGCGAGGAAATCTATGCCGGGCAGACCCGGAGGCTGTGTGTTTTCCAGCTCGTCAAGGTGCGGTATAAATGGTCTAAAGGCTTCGGGATTGCCCCGAGGTCATTCAAGATGTCTTCCATAGGAAGTGTTCTTTGCCCTGAAGTTCAAGCCCTCTGAGCCTCCAAAACGCCTCCACTTCCCGTTGCGCCCCGGACATTTGGGAAAAACACCTGGGCCTTCGATTGGTGGTTCCTTCGATCCAGGGGAGTTTCGAGGTCTCACCTCAGCTCACTCCTCACTCCCTCCCTCTTGTGCCCAGCTTTTGGCAGCGGAGCAGCAACGAGAAGTTCCAACGAACCGGTACCTCGCCGGCACGTGGAGCAGAAGGGTGGAGGGGGTTGACCGGGGTGCAAACAGTCAAGTTCCTGCCCGGTGACCAAGGGCTCACAGGAGTTGGTCCTTCGGTCCCCATATGAAGGGCCATGGTGGGAAAAGACCGGAGTTCAACTGGCTGAAGCAAGGAGTGGCATCGCTCTGAAATATATTGGAGCTCCTAGTAGTAAGGCGGCACTTGTTTCTACTAGCTTCTTATTACTACTAGTAAGGCACTTAGTTACTAGTATGTTCCTGGATTTGTGTTCAATATTAGTTTCCGTAAACTTGCACAATCGTGGAAGGTGAGCCGGGTGACCTTCAGGTGTCTTGGATTTGTCCGGTCCCTTTGGTCTTACCTACCCTACGCGTCCTGTCTCTGTCTGAGACGACCTCCGCCCTCATGGACGGCGTCTCTCACTTTAATTTGGCCCCACCGACAGCTGGGCCCCACTGGCCCCCCGCTCGCTCCGCGCCCGAGCGAGGTCGACTCGTTCCGCCTCGCCTCGACGGCATCGAAGGTCAAGCCTCCCGGCTGCCCGATGCTCTGGATCCCGCCCTCGGAGGCTTTGCGCATCTCGCCCACCTGTACGTGGGTGAATTCACCGAAAGGAAAGACGGCGCGGTCGTGGGTGAAGGCCGTGGTGAAGGCCGTGGGTTTGGCGGGGGGCCGTTCGCTTTGGGCTGGTCTTCATGTTGGGCAGTGGCCAGTCTCAAACTCTTGATTCGTATTCATCTTGTGCTCCCTGTCGTGCTTATATATTGGTTTCTTGGCCAGCACCAAACCTGGCCACCCAGCTTGGACACGGGTGGTTGGATATCTGCAGTATCCCATGTTCTTCAATCATGTTGAAGAGGACAGATCCAGCGTTTCTACCTCACCGTTGATGTATGAGCGCCACCGATGCCCATGCCATCTGCGTAACCATGATTGTTTCAGGGTAAGGTAGGATTACTAAAAAAGAAAAAAGTGGCAACAGGATCGATATGGATCGATCATACCCCCGTCTCATGAGCTTCCACGCTTCTAATATATCCAAATCGAACATCACTTGCATACCCAAATCGAACTCTTCCAAGGCTCAATCTTTCAATCACCAGGCGGCAAAATGGCAAGAGTCTTGCTGGTGGTGGGATTCTTCAATGATGAAGGTATAATACCCCGGTGGAGCTACAATTTCATACACGTTCTAGATCTCTCAGGTAAGTCCTGATGGAGGGACTACTGGACACCTGGTCTACCATTTCTTTGCTACCCACGCCCTCCTCACTCGTCTCTTTAGCTGCCACCCTCTTCCCATTCCTTCTGCCAAACAAGCCCCTCTGCGCGAGCTTCAGCTTTAAAGTATCGCACCAACCCCCCACGCTGCAAGTCGTTCCCAAAGCGGAGTCCGGTGAAGATGCGGTTTTGCAGCTGCAACGGTAGGCCTTCAAACAGTCCAACCAGCCCATGTCTTTCCAGCACGGCATCCAAATCCTTGCGCCGGGCCGCTTCCAAACGCAACACAGCTTCAGCCAAACGACGATGCCCTGACTTGAAGTCCATATCCTTTAAGTCACTTGCGGACGCACCGCTGTACTTTTGGCATTGTCGAATGAATTCTCTCCAAGTGCAGGGTAGGCACTGCAGCGTGTAAAGACATAAAGATGTGTGCAGTCTGCGGTTCAATATTTCGTTCACTTGCGCCATAATCTGAAATGTTGCGCCTGCTTCAGCTTCTGCCACACTTCCAAAAAAAGCCCTGGGGGCCGGCCCCATGAACATGTATCTGCTGCGTACGTGCCACAACGCCAAGCACGCAGCGCACTGACACCTCAGCGGCGTCCTCTCTGCCAACACACCAGGCTCACCTTTGTCCACGCAGCAAGTCGCTGCCGCAAGAAACAAATAGAAATCTTCAAGCAAAAACTTGAGCCTATAGCACTGGATTGCTGTGCCTAGATCTAGATCCTCTGGAAGGCCAGGTCTGCCAAGGAGTTCCAGCCGCAACATTGAGCGTAGGAGCTTCTCTGTTGCCACATTCAAATCCGCAGCCGGCCGAAGTTCCCGTAGACCATCCATCAACTCAACGAGACTCCGACCAACCTGCAACGACGTTCGCGCCCACGGTCGAAGAGCTACAAGCAGATGATCCACCGGCCGACACCGCGGAGCCACCACAGGCGCACGCTCTGCTGCACGTCGAAAGTAGCGACGTCGGCCGTCACCGCTGTCCAACCAAGCCTCAGGATGCAAAAACCGAGTTGTACTTCAAACACGAATTCTGTTTACACCCTCCTCCTACCCTGCCATGTGCCACCTACAAATCTTCTAGAAAAAATCCTTTTCTTCCAGTGATCCCCACCATGGCAAATATATAGCTTTTACTCACATACATATTTCTAAAACACCCTGACATTCCTATTTCACATTCTTCTCGGGCCCCATGAACTATATAATCAACTCCGTTTCATGGCTTCCTTCGCAATAATCACTAGCTTCGCCCAAGACACAGACACCGAGGTGCGAAACTTCAACGCCTCGCGGATTGAGTGCTCCAGTCCACCAACAACTGCCTCCAAGGACTCCTCTGTCAGGCCCGCTGACAAGCTCTCTTTCGCCCCGGCCAGCATTGCATCTTCCATGAACTGCTGCGTTCCCAGGTATCGAAAGCACGCAACCAAAAGCACCCATGCTGCAACACGGGCTTCCGTCACAGGTTGTCTCCGCCAAACTTTCTTCCACATAGCCACTGCGAACTTTGGCCGGCTCCTCATTGCACCGTCCAGTATTGGAGGGACCTTGCCAAGGAGTGGCACATATTGCGCAATGTTCCGATGCAGCGCTGGACCGCGCGCCACCCAAGCTTCAATGCAATGCTTCGTCTCGTCTGGTACAAGGACCTTCGGCTGCTGCAAAAGCATCAAGCACCAAAAGTATAAAAACGACTTCAGCAAACCCACATTCTTCACCCCAACCTGTTCATCGATGTCGTGAACAAGCACATCAACCTCCAGGCCGGACAGATACTCAGCATCGCGCACATACTTGTCCTCCAGAAAGCTGATCTGTCCACATTTCGTAGGTTCCGGACTGTAGCCACTTTCCTCCGGGCTACTCAAGTCCACTTCCGAATCCTGCCCTCTGAAGCGCTTCGACTTGCGATCACCGCCCCGTCGATCAACCAGCCGCCCCGTTGATCGGCTGCACGTGACACAGATAAACCCATGATCATCCTTCGCTGACGTGCGCTTCCTGCAGTGTCGACAACTTCCGCGATCGGCCATCCGGCAAAGATCCGAGAGTAAGTTGTCAATTTGTGGTTACAAAGCTTCTTTTCAAGTTTGTTGAGAGCAACACGGACTTCAATGGACTGAACTGAGTCTTCGTTGCGTAGACTATGTCATGCGGCGTTCCGCTGGATCCGGTTTTGGCAGGGAAGATGGAAGAAGTAGTTTCGTCAGGGAATCTCTGCCGGAAAGGTCCCGATTTTGGAAGCTTCAAACTTGGGGATCTGCTCCAAAAAGCTGAAGGTATTCCCCACCTGTTCCCCTCTGTGTGTTGCTCAGTACTGGCAATCTAATGCTTTGTTTGCAGGCTGAACAGTTTGTGGATCTTGGTCCCTGATGGTTGCAAAAGCAGTGGCAATTCCCACAAAATGCAGAAGTGCAAACGTATGTCAATTGGAAAAGTAAGTCAAGACCTGCAGGAAAAAGTTATCCGACAGCAAATTAAATCTTAAGAGTTGACTTCTAGAAAATTTAACAAGCTACTGTGTATATATATATATATTTTAAAAAAACTCTGACTTGTACATTGTCTACAAACGTTAAGGACAATTGAAGTTGTACCTCCTTCAAACTGGTCTTAACTGATCGGTGGGGTACCGAGGTCATTCGCTCGAACTGGTGGACCAGGGGTCCAGGTTTTTCACAACCCATCTACCTTCTCAGGTGATTGGAGAGACACTAATGTAGGTCTGGTGGGTCCAAGCACCTTCTGAGAATGTACTTGGATCTCTAGGCGATAAATGATCAAACATCAAAAAGCCGCTTCATCAAAGTGACCTTTGTGGAGACATGTGGTGTCATGTGGTGTCCAACAACAACAAATCACCTGATTCCTCTGTTGCCTGTGATGTCACGGCCTCTGACTGCCCACGACCATCCACCCCAACCTGGATTAGTCGTCGCAAGGGCATCGCTACTAGTAGCTCCTGGGGCTCCTATGAGTAGCAAGAAGTTACTACTAACATGGCCACCTCTACTAGTAGCTCCTGGCATTGCTATTAGTAGCAAGCAGCTAGTCGTAACAAGAGCATCGCTACTAGTGGCTCCTGGCCCTACTGTTAGTAGCAAGAGGCGACTAGTAACAAGGGCATCGCTACTAGTAGCTCCTGGCACTAGCAATAAGCGACGAGTAACAAGGGCATCGCTGCTAGTCGCTCCTGGCCTTGCTGGTAGTAGAAAAACCAAGGAACCTCCTTGCTTGACATGACAGCTGAGGTTTGCTTCACGTGGCTCAGCTAGAGATCGACAAGCACGACTTTCTCTGGTCACGAGCCCGACCGGTTGCGTGGGATGTTTTCGTGGGGAGGTGTCCAAGCCCCCTTGGTCCTATCCTCTGCTCCCCATCCCCAAGGTGACCTGCGACCCAGTGAACCCCGGAGGATGGCGATGTTTGGAGTCGAAACGACGCCATTTCTGCCGAGCGCCTCCGGGATCAGCATCCTCATCACTGAAGAGGTGTCCACAGGGCTGTCGTCATAAAGACCTCTGGAACCAGGAACTCCCACCCTCCTCTTGTGGTGGGCAATGATTGGACCGTGAGCATCCTGAGAGCCTCGATATGGGATTCCATTCATCAGGGTCCGGACCCTGAAAACCATGTAACCTTGAGAGAGCCCGGTTTTGTAGGGCACCTAAAAACGGAGGTCTTCACTGGTGACCTGTTGGAGGGTGGTGCTAACAATCTCTTGAAGTGCTTTTTTTACTGCCCTCCAGCATTGCAGTGGTGTGCATGGTCAGCCCCCAACAAAGTGACTGCATCAAATGAATCAAACAGGGACTACCAAAACCAGACGGTCTCTGCTTGCAGAGTTACATCAGTTTCATCAATGCAAAGCTAGGGCTAACAAGATTGTACTCATGTGTCTATATCGACTGACGGACGGACGGACTGACTGACTGACTGCCTTGCTTCCTTCCTTCCTTCCTTGTTTGCTTGCTTGCTTTCTTTCTTGCTTGCTTGCTGACTTAAGGAGTTTCACAGTAAAGCACTAACAAACATTATGTGCATGACATCCAACGCACTACCCTGGCCGTTGACATCCCTACACGTAGAACTGAATGGATGCCCTGCCTCTTTGCCTGCAAATCTGCCTCACAACAGTAACAGCATTCGAATCTAAACAGAACATAAACAGTTTTTTTTGTCATATCAAATACGGCTCCAAATAGCGAGGTGCTCTTGGTCTCCCATAGGCTTTTGACCAATCAGTCCATGTTTAAAGCGAGGTTGCGGGAGCTGTATCTTAGCTGTTCACTCCCAAAGCCACCAAGGCACACTTCTCGCCAGTGTCTTTATTCAAGAACGCTAGGCCAGAATGATATGCGTTCCTCGGTCTGTATCTGAAGTGATTTTGTCTTGGAGAGGGTCATTCAGAGAGAAACATCCGTCGAACGCTCAAACGGCGAAGTCTGAGACAAGATGCGCCAAGTAAAACTGGCAGGGCAAACGGCACAAACCGTGAGTCATTTGGACTTCCCCATTGAACGCCTCTTGATGTGTCTTCTTGCCATACATACTGTGACAAGGGCGTGAAGTGAACAAATGCAAACTCTCTGAAGTTGCGAAACCAGGACTTGGCCAATCTGAGGAAGAGCTCCTGCATCACTTGAATGTGTTTTTTGGGTCTAATAACAATGGATTGACTCCCTCAGTGTCCTTGGAACATACCGGTGAATCAAACTCTCCAACCGCCCCAATCCCCCATGTGAAGCTGCAGCTGATCCACAGGTCTGGGTCTTCAGATGTCTTCAGACTTTGGCCAAGTGGCCAGGGTGCTCGGTCCAAGACCCACTATGCCAGCAAGAACTCCGCGTAGTACACCTGGTTGGCGCCGGTCGGCTCCAGGTTCTGAACCACTGAGTTGCGCGACGTATGCACAATCAAGCCAAGCAATCATTGATAGCCAGCTGTTCCGTTCGAAGGTCCACTGAGTTCAGAAAAGTTCAGAACCTTCATCCAAGTGATTCATTCATCACTTCAGACCTATACATCTCAAAAATTCCGAACACCTCCCGTATATGAAGAGGTCTTAGACATCCAAACGAGCCGCGTAACCGCAAGAATCGCTTCGATTGCGAGGACACGAACTGATGAGAGTGTCCTCAAAGCAGTATGAGAGTGACTTGGCAAACGACCCAAAAGACGAGGCAGCCAAACGGACCCCGGACTCATCGCTGCCATTGACTCTTCCAGTCAAGCAGGTGTGATGAGATGGTGTGATCGCCACGTTTAAATGGTGGAGGCCTCTTATGTCCTTTCAGACTGACTGCTGTGAAACCTCGTGATGACATTGTGACTCCACCTGGAGTCGACCCGTTCGTACCCCAGATAATGGAGCACCAGTCGAACCTGTTTTTTGGGTTCGGGTCATGAACCCATTTTCTAGGGACACGACTTCTGTCACAGTCGGGTCCAGGGACATCAGCACGAACAACTCCAACGCCTAATTCATAGCAACCATTGTTACTACTAGTCTATACGTAAGGCACCTGAGACTACTAGCGTGGCACTTGTTACTAGTAGCTTCTTGTTTCTCAACAACGCTAAAAACACACAGTCCCGGGGCCGCCCGCCTCAACACGTGCGCTCGGCGCCCACGGCAGCAGCGATCGCGCGTGGAAGATGTTCTGCGCCAACTGACGGTCCTCATCCTCTGCCGCGCATAGCCATGAAGCCTCAATTGGAGCTGGTTTTCCCATCTAAGCGGAGAAGAGGATGGCATCAACGGCGGTCAAAGCGGGGGATTCGGGCTGACCACTGAACATGCACAGAATAGACTGCGAAGGGGAGGTCAACCTACCAAGGCTTGCCATGACCCACAGCCAAATTGGAAAAGATATGAACAGAAAGAACACAAAGATCGGAGCCGATGGTGAAACGGAGCCGATGGTCGGATTGGTCTCCTTCGTTTGGACCAGAAGTTGCAAGCCAAGAAATGCGGAGACCAATCGGACCATGATTCTTCATGATTCCAGCATGCCCGATGGGGTATCCAGACTATCGTTTATATGCCCTATAGGGATCCACATACCCTCTGAGGTCCGGTGATTGGAGATACTGTTATGTAGGTTTGGGGGGTCCAGTCGTACCTTCTCAGAAGGTACGACAGAATCCCTAGGCATGGTTCACTAGTTAGCATGGGTTGGCGGTTGATGCTT